CCCCCCCCCCCACCCGAGTGCATAAATTTTTGGGTACCGGGCCTCTAGTGTGTATACACACACATACACACACACACACATATATGATGTATATGTAATGTATGTGTATGTATATGATATATATAATGTATGTATATGATGTATACACACACACACACACACAAACACACACACACACACACACACACATATGATGTATATGTAATGTATGTATATGATATATATGATGTATGTATATGATGTGTGTGTGTGTATACACACACACACACACACACACACACACAAATGGTGTCTAGGTTTTAAGTGATTTGACCAAGATCATATTTGAATCAGAGAAATGGATAGAAATTTTGAAATTTAGTTTGTGACATGCAGGGTGGCAAGTATTCTGAGGAGACTTTTATTATCCCATTTTATGTGAGGAAACTGAAACTCAGGGATTTAAGTAATTTGCCCAAAGTCAAACCATTTATGAATGACAGAGACTTTTTGAAAAACCTGCATCAGAGCTCTGGACATCTGGGTTCTACCAGCAGTTATCATCATCAGGCCAAGGATGTGATTTATTATCCAAGATGGTTTCTTTAGAGACTTTCCTCATTTCCTCCCCCTTTTATCTAAACAGCCTGAAATAATTGATACAACCTCTAAATATACTTGGCTGTTCATCTGAGTATGTCATTAATAATGAAGGAATACACAATGTAATTGAATCACCCGAGAAAGTACTATAGAAGATATTAAAGGCATCTGACACTGAACATAATTCTCCAGTCTAATTTATTTTAAAATTTTGTTTCTATTTGGATAATTGAGTTGGTGTTAAAGCTGGAAGGTTTTTCTTTGTTCATTCAACAAATATGAATATAGAACCTGTTATGGACTGGTGAGCCCACTGGCTCTGGGGTTATGAGCATGGATAACAAGAATCTCTGTTCTTTAGAAATGTATTAGATAGTAGGTAGGAAAGAAAAAAATATGTATGTATATATTTAATGCATTAATATATAGGGTGTAGTCACTTTAAATAAAGTACTATGGTTCATGGAAACAAAAATTTATCCAGCATGTTAACTTGAATATTAATCATATTTCTGGGTTGCCAAATACCAACCTTATCTTTAGAATGTGTTCTAGTCATTCATCCATGGCTATATTAATGTGAATATCAAATGTGATCATTGTGGCACTTTCATGCTAATGTGTTGGCAAACATCGCAGTACCATTTATGGGAGTTGTACTACTTGGAAACACAACTCTTAAAATATGGTGGTGCCCAGATTGGGTGGGTATGAGAATCAACTTACTGTGTCAGAATACACCCAAATGTTAGAGCCAAACCCACAATCTACTAAATCAGAAACCTATCAGGGTGGGCTTTGCATAGACACACTATATAGTATATTTCTCAGGTATTCTGATGCACAGCAGAGTTTGAGATTAATCCTAGAAAGAATCATTGAAAATAGTTTAGAGAAAAGTTCAAGACCAAGATGTTCTCAGAACTGGGGTATTGTGACTGAATTTCTTAGAAATGTAGGCAAAAGTGGTGACAAACTTATCTAGGGTAGTTGAAGGCCCATAGTGTGTCTTCTCCACATTCAGATCAAGGGCCAGCCAGGGGTGGGTATGTTGGTATTTCATTTTGGTCACTTTCTCCCCAAAACAGCCACCCATATGTGATTACATTCTGAATCTTTTCCATAGCCATGACACATTTTCTCTGCCTTATGGTTACTCTGGCCTTGATTGATTGCTTTTAATAGAACTTCAGAGAATGGGTGGAGGCTGAAATGACTGCATATACATCACCCTTGGTACTGAGTAGGAATTTTGCAGAAATTGGACAACGTTTGCACACTAGAATTTCTCAGATACATCCTTCAATCACGCTTGGATTATACCATTGCATGGGTCCCGCCTGGGCTCTGACATTAGACTGTCAGGTTCCAGTCCTGACTCTGAGACCCTGGACAAGCTTCTCTCAAGTCCTCAGTCTTTCTGTCATTATATTATACCTATGTTATAGGCTTGTAGTGAGGTTTACATTTAAACATAGGTAGCATGCTTAATATTCTGTCTGTAACAGGTTCACTGTCAAACAAGGCCCAGAAATAAAGTTAACTATAGCCACCCATTGGAGTCCCATGGAGCCACTTTCTCCAAAGGGCTGCAGGGAGTATTTGGGTCAATAAATGTCCAGCTGTCACAGCTTCTGGCAGTGTAGACCTAACCTTAGATGGAGCAGTACTGGGTAGGTGTAGGAACCAAGAGTTGCAGTAATTGGCTAGTAATTCTCAAATTGTGTTAGGTATCAAACACACCTGGGGAGTTTGGCATCTGTATTTCTGACAAACACTGGAAATTCTGAGCAGAAGAGAGCATAGAGGGAATGAAGGAATATAGAAAAGTTTTAGTTCTACCAAGATCAAGCAAATGGCCCACCCCATGCCATTTGAAATGCTTTTTTATAAAGAAAGCATCTGCCCTTAGCAACATCTGGACAGGGCTCTGTTTTGATATTTGTGAGTGCTTTCAAACAACCCAGTGAATGGTAGTTCTTCAGGGAAAGTCTATGAATCTGTGCCTTGTCTCCACAATTTGGCTGTTAAAGATATAATTTCTCTGCCTGACTAGCACTCAAAAGTAGGGGAGTCTTCACAGTGTTTTTACATGTGCTTGTTAGAGTATATTAGACAATTTAAACCATTCTTTGTTTTGAAAGAACCATTTCTCTCTCTCTCGTAGCTTTGGCATGATCCATGATGGAGAAGGGAACATGTGCAAAAAGTCTGAGGGCAACATAATGTCCCCTACATTAGCAGGACGCAATGGGGTCTTCTCCTGGTCACCCTGCAGCCGCCAGTACCTGCATAAATTTTTAAGGTATGAACTTTTGAAGCTGGTCGTATATCTCTTGGTGCTTTTGATGGTCAATATGTAGTCAGCCTGATCCTGTCCAAGCAGCCACCAAGCTTGGGTGTGACTTCCCAAGGTGGATGCCATTTGGAAGTGTCTTGAGATATTTACTTGACTAACGAGTTTGCCAAACACTTCCTTAGAGCATGGAGGCCTGTAGGCTTAATCCAACATCATTCAACCTTTAAACTCAAAGGAAGTCCATATGATACTTACCAAGCCAAAATATTTTGTCTACATTTAGGGTTTTTTTAAAAATCCTCTTGTCTATAACTAGACATTTCAGTCCTTGAATAGGAAGATCTGGCATGTATACATCAGTGCACACAATGGTAAAGCACACATAAATTTTTTTAACAAAATTCATTTCTTAATAGGAGGAAAAACTTGAATTTATAAACCTTAACCTGGCTGTAAAAGCCTATTATTTTAATCATTATTTTTAGGAAATTTGATTATAGCACTAATTCATTTAGGGTATAGAATATTTGGAAGGCAGGATTTGACTCCCTGAACAATAGTCATTATATTTTAAAATTTTAGAGAAAGAAGGGACTTTAAGAAACATCATTAGATCTGTTAATAAGGTAGATTATTCCCCAAATCTCAATGAATTTGCATTTATTCTTTGGCTTAAGCTTTAAACCGTAGCTATTTGTGACTTGCACCACATGCCAGTATAGGTTGGTGAGATCTCTGCTCCATGTAGTCATTCGGAGACGCAGGTTCTTTCACCCTGTGGCTCTTTCCTCTTTTAGGATCTTGTTCACTACTCCATCCAGCCAGTGGCTGGCAAAAGACAGTACTGGAGGATGTGAAGGAAAGGGGCTGTATTTTTGGAACTGAGAATTCAGCTGAGGGCCCTCCAAAGCAAAGTGGGGCTAAGAGATGTCTACCTGTGTGCTCTGGAGGAAAAGAATAAGAGGATTCATACAGAAAGGAACATGTGCTGTATCACCCGCCGCAAATCACATTATAGGTGAAGTAGCTGAGATTGCAGGGACCAGATAATTATTGGCAGAATTGAAAATAAGAATTGAAAATAGGAATGCTGAACCTTAGACCTGACTTCACTGACCCCAAGAACCATATATTTAAAGAGCCAAGGAAAAGCAATTCTGTTGAACTCATAACATTTATTTTTGTTTTTACATGTAGTTACTTAAAAAAATTTTCTTGGCTCAAATATTATAAAGATGAGGAAGAATTTTTATTTGCTTAGAAAGTAGCTCTTAACTCTTGATGACTTACATCTGATAATAAACATAGACAGCTGATTACATAGGCATAAGAATTTAGGTGCTGGGGCCACCTGAACTTCTCACCATCCCTTTCTTCCCTTCTGAATACAGTCTTTGAGGACCATGGTGATACCTGGATAAGACTATGGTTTGATATCTTTGTTCCTCCTGTAAGACACCCAAAATGGGAACATTATTATTTCTTTAGCTCCCAGGAAGGAGAACTGCTCTTATTCAGCATGAAGGACATGTTTATTCATCAGAAATGTATTTTACCAGACACAGAAGAATTGTGTTTGCTTGCTAACAACTCACTGACTCACAATCATCTACTGATTCTAGTACTTCTCAACTAAACACATTCATATTTTTTAGATTTGTGAAAGAAAATATAAGAATTATCACTTCCATTTCAATTGTAGAATTTATTTTTTTAAATTTGAGAGATTTCTTTCTTCTAATTTATATTGTTTATTACACAAAATAAAAATGTAGTAGTTACAGATTTTTAAAAACAATTTCTTTTAAATACAGAGTATCCGGAAAGAAAAATTCCTGGCCTAGGGAAATAAAGACTTCTTTAGTAATTGAAAAGTACCTGTACAATGAGAAAGATGGAAGTATCAAACACATCTTTTTCAATATAATTTCTCATTGCTCCAGAATATGTTTAAAGTGATGATTCCTATTTTTTTTTTTTTGCTATAAAAACATTATGTGCTTGATTACAGGTCCCTGCTCTATCCCCTGCTGGAGTGGTTATATAATATACAGTATATGCAGTGTATTAGTTTTAAAAACCTGAACAATCCTAAAAACACTGCTGACACCAGAGGTTTGGATAAGGGAGCATAGTCCTGTGTGAATGTTCTTTTCTGGATGGCTGAGTGAATATAAAACAATCACAATCTCCAAAGAATCATCCAGCACTAAGAGCTTAAGTGTTGAAAAATGAAACTATACTAATGAAAGGGTAATATTGCTAATTAGACCAGATAGACTGGATGTCTTCCGAACGTCCTTCGGGACAAAGCCATGGTGGCGGGGCCAAGACAAAGGCGATTAGGGGTGATCAGGCGACAGGGGAGAGCAGTTAGAAGCAATCAGGCTGGCAGGAGAGAGCAGTTAGGGGTGATCAGGCAGGCAGGGGAGCAGTTAGGGGCATCAGGCAGGCAGGCAGGTGAGCGGTTAGGAGCCAGTGGTTCCGGATTGCGAGAGGGATGTCTGACAGTCGGACGTCCCTCCAGGGGTCCCGGATTGGAGAGGGTGCAGGTCGGGCTGAGGGAATCCCCCACCCCCTGCACGAATTTCATGCACCAGGCCTCTAGTTCTATATATTTGGAATGCCTTGGCACCTACATCTTTTCTGTGAAGTAAAGACTAACAAAGAAATATGAACATAATAAAAATTATTAAATAAAAAAAAGGAATTGGAATAGGTTATCATACAGAAATATAGTATAATTCATAAGCAGATGCAGAGAAAAGCAAATGGGGAAAAAATGAAGACCAAGGGAAAAAAATAAGTATATAGATCCTAAAGGATAATCTTTAGCTGTGATTGTAAAGCTTAAAATTGGTCTATGATCTTTCTAGAAACCAAAGCAACAAAAAGGAGATATAATCTGTTCATATTAACATAAAATAAAGCAAATACCAATATTTCAAGGAAAGCAAAGCTTTTATCAGCAAAGAATTTTAAAAATAAATAGAACTGTGCATATGTATATATAAAAATAACTAAAGATTTACATATGTGAATGCACTTATAAAATGTTTATACTTTATGAATATACTTTACATTTACATAATACTTTATATAGTATACATTTGATATATAAAATAGATTTTACAAATTTTTAACAATAAAATCATGTTGCATAGTGTGTATTCATAAATATTGATACAAACACAGAAAAGAAAACAATTGATACAAAGTTACCTGTGTGTACCCTTCCATACCTGATGACACACGTGTGATCTCCCACTTCTACCCTCCTCTAGACCCAACTCTGGAGTGATTCCATCCTGAGTCAGTCTACACAGCCACCAGGAACACTTTTCTTGTACTTCTATTGGTTTTACTACATGATGCCAGGAATTGAACAGGCAACACAGTATAGAGAGGCAGCTGCAGAGCTCATGACTGGCACTGGCTTGATCAGAGTTGATGGAAGAAGAAACAGGTTGGCAGCACCCAAAAAGTGCCAGACTAGCAGGAAGCTAGCTGTCTTCCAAGTCTTTGTAACATATATTATTGTGGTAAAAACTAAGAGCTAGTTACTCCAAGCTAAAAATTAAGGACAAAAGTATGCCATCTCTGTTAGCTTCTCTGGATACCGTTCACAGTTCTACTGGCCTCTCTGGCCAGTTTCACTGAGGTCCTTACTTTGGGTTTCAGGTTTTCATTCTCTTTTCTCTCTTTCTTTCTTATTTTTTTTTTCAGTAGAGTTCCTCTTTTCCTCTTCTTTTTTTCTTTTTCCCACACAATTTACATTGTCTTGTTTCTAGAACACCATTCCGGCATGGTAATGAACTCTTTTAGTCAATTTTACTAATATTTGTTGTCTATTATCGAATGGACTGCTCCTCCATGCCCACCTGTATCAGTGAACCTATGGCTGGTTTACCTTGATTGCTGCCTCTTCCTTTAGTTCTCCTCATAACACATTTTCTGAGCCAGCATCTTGGCCACCAGCATGCATGGACTCCAGCCTTCAGCTTGTGGTCCCTTCCTCATAGTCCATCCTATTCTAAGACTGCAGGTAAAATATTGACTCTGACTGCTTTTCTTTTCTTTTTTTTTTAATATAATTTATTGATTTTTTACAGAGAGGAAGGGAGAGAGATAGAGAGTCAGAAACATCAATGAGAGAGAAATATCGATCAGCTGCCTCCTGCATACCTCCCACTGGGGATGTGCCCACAACCAAGGTACATCCCCCTGACCGGAATCGAACCCGGGACCCTTCAGTCCGCAGGCTGACGCTCTATCCACTGAGCCAAATCGGCTATGGCTCTGACTGCTTTTCATAGTTAATGCCACCCAGGAAGAGTGGGAATTTTGTGGACAATATCTGTATCCTGGTAATATAAGCCTATATACTAGGGATATACACTTGGTCGTTTTTCTATTTCTATTATTTAAAAAGGCAATGTTAACAATTATTCTACAATTGGCATGATACACACAGGGGTTCCTTTTAGCATTTGTTCGCTACACAGTATTCTCATGAAAGCAAGTTGGGGATTGTTAGTATTATGTTTAGCTTTTTCTTGCAGCTGTGTGTGCATGTGGGTGTGTAAAGAATTCTTACTGTAACAAAGAATATTCGTTTTAAGGCTCTTGGTATTCTTCTATTAATAAGAAAAATTAGGAATTTTCTATATCTCAAATTCTTTCTATAATTTTGGAGTCTTTTAAAAAAATTATATTGCTTTTTCATCCTCTTACTTGTGATGAAGATAACATAAACATTTTCTGCTTTTATAAATGTTCACTGACATCCTGGGAAACAGGGGATGCCAAGTTCAGATGTGCAGTGAAAATCAGCATCATAAAAGTGTCCAGAAAAATGTGTTTTAACTGCCAATAAGTATAGGGAAATTCATGGCAAGAAAATATTTATATGCTTAGAGAATACTTATTTTGATGACACTAAATATGGGTTCTAATCTTCAAATAAGAATATGATTTTCAGAATGATTACAGTATTAAGGTTCTGGAATTCAAAGCCATTTTTGTCCTGTGTTATTGGAACGGTTTAATGTAATCTGAAATATGTCCATTTGTTTTTGTGCCAATCAGTAAAACCTTTCTGTTGTAATTCAGTAATGGGCCTTTATTTTCAGGGACTTTTTTAATTTCTTTGGACCCCATGATAATAAGTAAATATGCAAGATTTTACATGCTCATTAAGTCTGTTTTCTTGGAAGATTAAATTTTTCCCAAAAAAGACATTCAATATCAAGTTCGCTATGAAGGTTTACTTGAGATGACCAGTTATAAATTGGACATGTCTATAGCGTGTTAACACTGACTTTTCATCAGCTTAATGAATCTGACTTGGTCTTCTTTGACATGTTTGCTGACTTCCTGATTTCCAAGGAATCAAAACACTGCTACATTCTCCACCAATTTAGGTGGCTCTTTGGATATGATCCCGACAATGAGTAAGGATAAATGCAAACTCTTAATGATGAATCTAACTTCCTTTATTAGCAATTTAGCATGTGGTACATGGAAAAAAAAACATATAATAAAGCGTAATGTGTCATTTCCTATGAACAGACAGAGGCCTCATCACATTTACTCATGTCTGCATCCTGGAGGCCTAGGACTTAGGGAAAATTTAGCTCATTATTTTAAACTTAATGACAACGTGGACTCATCTTCAATTTATTTTTTTTTAAATGTAAGTCATGTAATACTGGTCATTGAACATGCCTCTCCTCTGACCACACCAGTCCACATCAGTACATGAGAAAGGTGACCAGAACTGGAAGTTTGAGGGGTGCATGGGTCCCCTGTCATACCCTATACCCTGTCGATGAGAAATTGTGATTTGACTGTAGAGTTGATTATGCTTGCTTTAGGGTTTAATGGAAATAGTACAGTTCAGTGTACATTTTGCTCCACTATATAATGTCCATCTTAAGAAAAACAAACCGGTAAGTCACAACATGTTGCCGTTTCTGCAGAGCACAAATGACGTGAAGACTGGAAAAACAGGTACCACCATGTGATGGAAAGGGCAGCAAAGGGAAACAGAGCTTACATGCTAATCAGGCCTTTATCACTTATGTCTGGGAACGTCCTGATGGTGGCAAGAGACATAACCTTTCTGGGGGACCTAGAGTTTTTACTTGGAAAAGGAAGAAATACAACTAAAAGATCTCTCAGGCTGTTTAATATTTTATGGTTCATGAATAGGAGTGGGAAAAGGATGTGACATGTTGTGGTACCTTTGACTTTGCCCCATTTTCTATAACACAAGTTTAATGGAGTCTAAATTATCAATATTTTCACTTCAGTAGAAGCATTTTTTGGTTCATTGCTGAAAAAGCACTCTTAAAGTCATGCATATAGTCAGTCCCATGATCTCCTTCAACAGCGGTCGCCAACAGGTGGTCTGTGGACCACTGTTGGTCCATGAGGTCTGAAAGGTTGGCGACCACTGTCCTACAATGTTTACTGTTTTTGCTTGTCACATGCAAGCCACCCGATTTTGGTGCAGAGCATGTGAAAGAGTCAAGACCTCTTTTATCCTTGTAGATATTTTGGTAGGTTCTTTATAAAATGTCTGTCATGCGTTTCCTTCTTGCACCCACATTCTGGGGGATCCCTATACTTGCCTCACTGACTGGGCTTAGCTGTGTGACCTGATAGGACAGGAGCAAGCAGGTCCAAGCATGAGCCTAACCAGATCTAAAAAGGATGAGCTCAACACGTGGAGTTTCAGCTCTTCATATGTGACGCTAACCAGAGCTGACTTTCATATCCTGGCATTGATATGTGTGTTCCTGCATCTTCCCCAACTGTGGGCTTCTTCCAGGCTCCCAGTCAGTGCACTGTGTGTTTATTGACCAGGCAGGGACCTCTTCCTCACCACCATGTGCTTTTCTCTGTGGTTTTGTGACAAACATAATTACCCTTACATTGCTCTTCATTGCTGCTAGCATTTCCGTTTTCCATCTGAGAGCATTTCCTCTGTGTCTGAGCCAGTCCTATTAGAGTGTTGTTTGTTTGTTTTATTGTGGGCTTCTTAGTGGGATATTCATGTTTGTCTTTATTTTACTCTCTTTGTAAAGGGTATTTTGGTTTTGAATGGAATTCTAGTTCAGCAGTTATCTTTCTCTTGTAATTTGAAGCTGCCATTTCATTGTTTCCTGGCTTTTGTCATTTCTATTGATAAGACAGCTGTCAGTCTTGTCTCTTTTTCTTCAGGTAGCTTTTGATTTTTGTGTGTGATTTTGGTTTTCTGTAGAATTCCTATCTGTACCTATGTGTGCTTTCTGTTTGGGATTTTAGAACTGCCTAAATCTATGGTTTGCTGTGTTCCATCAGTTTTTGAACATGCTTGGCCATTTTATTTACAAATATTTACTCTGTCCCATTCTTCCTATCCTCTCTTTTTTGGGGGGATTCCAATCTTGTTAATATTATAACTTTTTACAATACACCGTATGCATTATTTCTTTGGTGAAATTCTTCATTTTTTATTTTCTTGAATCTATTAATTACAGTAATTTTGAATTTTATTTCTGAGTATACTAGTAGCTAAATTTCCTATGAGTCTTCCTCTACTATGTGTATATACTCTTGGATTTCAATCATTTGGTCTTATCTCCTAGTAAACGTACTAATGTTGATAAATGAGGGCATTGTTCATGAAACGTTTAAAGACAAAGTAATGATTTTATTTTTAGCAAATGGGGTGGTTGGAGTTTATCCTCATTCACTTTCTGACCTGGCCTATTGAGGTTGTTCTCACTCCTAGAATTAGGCCTATTGTACTGTCAATGAAAATCCTGTGGTGTACCAGGGCCCCTCCTTTCCGGCAGAGCCTCGGTTCCAATGTTCATCTCCCAGCCCCACCAGGTTGCCAAAAACTTTACTCAGCTCCTCAGGCCCTCAGCTTTCACTTTCTACTCTGCCACTTGTCTTCCTAGCAGATGCTTACAACTCAACAAATTCCCTTTTTGAGGAGGAAAAGAGCACTGGGTGTCGGACTCAGCTCTGTGCCTCCCTTTGCTCTGTACATCTTCATTCCTTGTGTCCTTTTTAGTTTAATAATTTTCTGATGCCTACAGAAGGATCCATTTGATACATGCCAGGCCACCATAGTTAGAAGGGGAAGTTCTCTTTGACTTTAATTTTAAGGCTGAATTATAAATAGCAAGTTACATTTACACAAACTATAAAAATTCCTGAACCTGTGAACCTCTTTGTAATTTTTCAATCTCTCATGTGAACCAATCAGTGTAGCTGACTTTACCTAGTTTCCTGCCCATGGAATAATATTGCCAACCCTGATGTAAACTTTGGGAAATATTTTGAGACATCTTACTAGTATACAGAAATCATTTGAGATCCATTGGAGAGAGGGGCTGTGGAATTCACAGTTTGACAAATCACTCCTGTCTTGAAGTGTTAATTATGCTTTTATTCATTTTTCTTTACTCATAAATATGCCCTTGGTTTGCTCTGTAAAACCTTCTGACCTCATTGCATGTAGGATTAATGTCTCATGCAGAGTGGCTTGTGCCATCCCTCATGTTTTTTGTGTGTGGATATTAATTGAAGTCATGCATCAGTGGGCTCCAAGGCACAGGAATCTGGGACTTGGGCCCTGAAGACTGGGGCCAGAAAGATTCCAATCAAGGTGGACAAGCACACACAAAAAAGGTTGGAGATGCATGGGCAGATCTGCTGTTGATTAATTTATTGTGATTACAGAGGCCTTTTCCCCCCCTTTTGGCTTATTGAAATTTATAAGTAGGATTTAGTTGCTATTTGCAAACACTTGTCCCTTCTCCCTCCAAATGCAAACATTATACCTAAGCACAGCCCTGGTAGGGAAGGGGACACTGCATTTGTGGAGGAAGGAATTATTAGTTGGCCGTTAGCCATCTGCTAGTAAACTTACGCAGAGTTGTTTTCCTCCTGGACTTCGAAGTCTAGTAAGAAATTAGCATGAGTATAGAGCATTGCTGGTGGATAGTGTTGCAATGGTTCATACAGAACCTGTGGAAGCTATAATCTGTTGTGCAGGTGTTCCCTAGCCTAGAAGAAGAAGGAAGAAAGAAAGGGAGGCAGGCAGGGAGAGAGAGGGAGAGAAAACACATTTTAATCTTCGAAATTGGCAGATTGTGTTTTGCCTTTTACAATACCCATTTCCATCTTTTGATTGTTCCTGGCAAGAAGTGTACATAAAAGTGGTCTGTAATAGGAGCTTTTCACATTGAACATCTGGTTGTATTATTCCATTTCGCTTTTCCCCATGAAGATTTTGAGTAATCTAAGAAAAAACAAATTGCCTTCCTGGAAAAAGCAAAATGAACAGTTTCTGAAGATGTGGCCCCTATATTGAAATTTAATTAAGATAATTGTTATATTGGACCTTTAGGGGAAAAAATCTCTTCTCTATATAATATCTGTGGTAAATTGTATGGCATAACTGAACGTACCTCTTTGATAATTCTTTTGGCATCTCCTCTTTGGTTCAGCACTGCCCAAGCGACATGCCTTGCTGATCAGCCAAAGCCTGTGAAAGGATACAAGTACCCTGAGAAACTGCCGGGACAGTTATACGATGCAAACACGCAGTGCAAGTGGCAATTTGGAGAGAAAGCCAAGCTTTGCATGCTGGATTTTAAAAAGGCAAGTGATTCCTGGCCAGTGTTCAGTGCACTATTATTCATAAAACCGTTTTATTCAGTGTAACTGACATTGATGTATTCTGCACTTATTGGGTACCTACCAAATGTCAAATCCTGTATGTTAGGGCTGGCCCCGTATAACAGGAAACACATGTTTTACTGGCAAAGAAAATGATGACTGATACTGTTGTGGGTATCAGTTTTCACTTGAGAACGACTTGGCCTGTTAGGTCACTTCTTTCTTTCTGATTTATCACGTGGGAGATCAGCAATTACTTTTGGTTGGTGTAAGTTGGCAAACTAATACTCTGCATTTTTTTTAAAGTGGTATTAGAAAAACAAGGTCCACCATTACCTTCCACCTCCTTAAGCATAATTTACTATAAAGTAGCAGCTTATCTAGGGCTTCTGATTACTAAATTCTCCAAATAAAGCATATATAGACAAGTTTCTTGAAGGAGATGCTAGCTAGTTCACCAACCCCAGGGACATCACCCGCATGTTCTCCTAATATAAATTCTTCATATAACACAGAGAGGAGTGTTCTTGCTGGACAGGGAAATGGAGATTTAGGAACTTGCTTTACTGAACCACAAGGAGACCTACCCATAGATTAAATAAAAGTAACTCTTTTTGAGATTTCTTTTAGTCTAGTTTATAATAGAATTAAGATGAAGGTAGACAAAAAATATATAGTCCTCCAGAAACCTCCAAACATTTCAGAATGCACCAGAATATTCCTAATTTCTAAACTCAAATAGAGCTCCTACAAAGGTCAGTTATAGCCATGTGCCAGACTGGGTTTTTATCTCCTCAGCTGAGTCATCTCAGCTTGGACCAAGAATAATAAATCAGTCCACATCAGTATATATTCCATGGGCACAATGTGAATTTCCTAAGAATTTTTTGAGTGTTACTCTTCTTTATGTTAAAAAAAAAGTGCTTAAAATGAATGTTGTATTTCAAACTAGAAACATACTTCTGGTTTCCACATTACTTTGCTCTGTGACCATGGATTATGTCATCCATGATATCCTCATACCATTTGGAAAATACAGAAAATAAGTTAATGTGCATATTTTTCCATTTTTTCATTACTGAGGAAATATTTGCATGCAGTGAAACATTTGCTGGGAGCTGAGGCAAATTTGTCACTCACCTGTGAGTTTCCCTTCTCTCCAGGATCATGTACTATGTTACCTATCATGAGAGATCTAAAACAATTCGCCTCTATATTTTTTCTAGTTTTATAGTTTTCGTATGCAAAAAAGTAAGCCTATTATCAGTTACGTAATTATGACAGTAGAAGAAAAACCTTTTGAAATTAAAAAAAACTTTTCAACAAAATGTCAGCTCATCATCATGTAAAATTGTTCTTCAGCACAAATAAACTTGATGTATTTTGTCTTTATAAGTTAAATTATATTTTTGTGACAGAATCTCTAATATAGTGAATTCAAAATTACATATTATATGGCAATTAGAGATTTTTTTTATTTTTTATGTGGACTGAATTATCTCAGGACATTTTTAATTATGAAATTTATCTTTTTTAATGAACTTCTACTGAAATTTTATGAAAACAGTTCTATTTTGTTAGGTTGAAATGTAAAGACTAGTAAGTCTTCTGATAGAAGAACATAAAAGAATAAATGGGAAGAAAATTACCCAGTGCCTAGGCCAACACCTATCACATAAGAGCCACTTAATTAAATTTGCTGAGCAGGGTGATAGATAGATGGATGGATGATACTTTAGAAAGGGATGCATCTCTTCTAAGTACCACATGCTAATTAGTTTCAAAAGTTAATATACAGTGCAAATGCAAAGACATCTTTGGATGCATGTACATTTGATGTATATGTATGTATGTTTACATGCTCATGTGTAAACTCCCATGCTTAAATGGCCATGGTTTTCTCTGTTACTGATGAGTTACATAGTGATAATCGAAATTAGTGATAAAAACAGCCCACTGCTTGCAAAACAAATAATTGTAATAGATTGTATACCTTATTATTACATCATTTGTAATTACATTTTCAGTTTACATTTTTGGAGAGCATAATACAGACAGTTTGAGAAAATGAATCTGCTGACACTCTATTCACAATATAGAAACAATAAATTTTCAACACAGTCATTGAAAATGGTTTTATGGAGGTGTTAGGTTGTAATGTTAAAATGCACCAAGTCATATTACTAAAGTTAGTCTTTGCAAGCATAGATCTTAAATTAGGGGATAGAATAGCAAGTGAGAGCCTTCATTAAGATAGTATTTCTTAGCTGCAAAAATAAAATCATAAGTGAACTATCTACTTGGGCTTCAACTAGTTTTCTGAGTTAAATATTGATTATTATAAATTTTGTGCCTTCATCAAGTACCTATATGCTTTGTAAACATTGCTTGCTGCCCTGACCCTGCAGTCTGAAATACAAGCTGCCAGAATACTTGGGAATTTGATCACCTTCGTGTCCTGGCTTCTGTTGAAATTGGGAGCTTCCCCCATGCCCAGAACATCTTACATTCCAACTCTCAGGCCCTAGAACTATGATTTAAGAGAGTCTTTGTTCTAAGAGGACCCTGAAGTTTTATTAAGAATATAATGATGTGCAACAATGATGCTTAATTTAATACAATAACTGTACATTATGTCCCGTGGTCAGCAGCTAAGTCAAAGTACGATAAACGTGAACAGGAGTAATTGGTTTTGGTTGTTTGGTTGTGGTTTAATTTTTACTGTATTATCTAATTCTTTGAGGTACTAGAAATTTTATTTGTTTTTCAGAAGTGAGTGTCTGTCATGTTTTATCTGATGGCAGACAGTTACATCTATAGGGTACCAAAGAATCAAATAATTTTTGATATGTTGAAAAACAGCAACAAGGATTGTATGATATTTTAAGGGTTTTCTAACTCTATGATTTACTTCTGGATATATGTCGGATCGATGGACAAGGCAGCAAGATTCATAATCCTCTTTAATTTGAAAATTGGGGATTCAGACTTGGAGAACTTAATGAAAGATGGGGTCAAGGATAAATTATAATATCTTAGGTTTTATTGTTTTGTTAATTTTAATTTTTTTGGAGTTGTCTGCAATGTCTGTATTAGGCATATTTTACTTATTAATTTTTTAGCCTCACCCTAGGATTGATTTTAGGCAGAGAAGAAGGGAAAGAAAGAGAAAGAGAAACTGATCAGTTGCCTCCTGTATGCCCCCAAACAGAGGTCAAATACACAACCTTTTGGTATATGGGACTCCAACCAATCGAGCTACCAGGCGAGGGATATATTTAACTTATTAGTTTAGAAAATATAATTTTGGTAAATTTATAATGAAAAAAACAAATATAGTTTCAGGGATGAACTAAAACTAGAACATGAATCCATGGTTTCTCACTCTATCTATGCATCTACTGCTAAGTAGATATCAGTTTTAATTTATATCAGTTGTTTCCCCTTAAAGTTTTCATGGGTCATTTGTAATACTGATGACCTTTTTTCTCCTTTTAGGATATCTGTAAAGCCTTATGGTGTCATCGGATTGGAAGAAAGTGTGAGACTAAATTTATGCCAGCAGCAGAAGGCACCATTTGTGGGCATGACATGGTAAGATGCTGATCTTAGGCACATACAATGTCATATTTAGATGTCAGTCTTTCAGCCCATTCATCTCTCCTCATCTTGCCTTGGTATTTTTAAGCCCTCCTTTCTCATATATATGTGCAGACCCACACATGTGAAAAGATTGTGTTTATATTGATATCATGAAGAAGACTCTTTATTTTTCACTTTGTTCAATGACATAATTGATGAGTTGGCTGGAATTAAGAGATGTGGATGTTCAGGAAAAGGTGACAGCTAAACCTATTTAGTAAAGGAAAACATTAAACCCTTAATGACCATTTAGCCACCTAGAGATCCAGCACTAAGTACTAATGTTAAAGCCACAGAGCATAGATTTGGAGAGAGGGGTCTCCAAATACCCCTCATGGAGCTGAGAGGGGTCAGGGCTTGGGACTTCAGTTTTTCAGCTGGGATGAGGGAAGGCAGTAGTGAAAGAGAGACCTTTTTTTGCTTGTAGCAAAGAACCAAAGAATTCAATAGATGAGGCTTTAGTCCTCAGACGTACTTATATTTTAAAATTTTAATTTTTCTTTCTTAAATAATATTAGATTGAACTATTTGAAATTGTCACTCCCATGTGCCAACAATGATCAAATAGCAACAATACATCCATTAATAATTGAAATATTTTTACCGGCCTCTTATAAAAACAGCATTTTTTCCCCTCTCAGAACAAATCATGTAGCTCTAAATTGCCCTACCCCTCACCCCAGGACAGGCTCTGCCAGCCACAAGGAACAAGGCAGTTACCTACCTCCTCTCAACAGATGGCCTAGGTCTACACCAAGCCATAGGTAGAAAATCCAACACCACTGAACACAATGTGAGATCTTGTGTAGCCTTTATGTGGGGTGGGAGTGAAGGAACCATGTAGATGTTAGCATGAATCCACACTGATGGGCCCTTCTCTTGAGAAAGGGGAGCTGATAGCATCTCCAGGGACAGACAAGTTCTGTGCAGATTATTTCATCTTAGAAAGCCCTGTGACCTCTGACATGCATCAGTTATGACCTCCAGGCTCTGAGTCCAGGTGCCCTAGAGAAAAGTCACAGCCCACCTGCCAGAAATGACAAGGTGTTGAATCATGTGGAACCTCCAGCTGGATTTCTCTACCTGAAACTCGGTCTCAGCTGAAAATGAGATGTGAAAAGCACATTGTTTTCAGGAGAGGTCGGCGTCCATTCACTTGAGAGCTGACTATCTATGCAACACTACTTAATTAAATGTGTCAAGTTCCAGCAGCTCAGCTGGGGTGTTTTTTTTCTATTTATGTTCTGTTTACATGGATTTATAGAGCAATGATAGGTGTGGAAAGACAAAAGAAGCATCCTTAAGTGCATTTGTATGATGTGCTACTAATGGTTAGGGACAAGAATGTCTGCTTATGGTACCAGACTCCCCGTGACTGAGCATTAAGCATTACAAGAGTGTGGATCCACCTATCTATCCATGAGGTCATATCTACTATTTTTTTTTTTAACTTTTAGTGGTGCCGTGGAGGGCAGTGTGTGAAATATGGTGATGAAGGCCCTAAGCCTACCCATGGCCATTGGTCAGACTGGTCTCCCTGGTCACCATGCTCCAGGACCTGCGGAGGAGGGGTGTCCCACAGAGACCGCCTCTGCACTAATCCCAAGTAAGAAAGTCTGAATTTCCCAGCTCACAAGTGAGCATCTCTCTGCCACAGCCTTTCAAACAGTGCCTGTACCTGAGCTCAGTCGTACTCATTCTGTGCTTCAAATATTATTGTAAGAAACGTTAAATAGGAACGCCTTTTCCCTCAAACATTTCTAAAACAATGATATTTTTTGATATGAGATGCTTATAACTATCTAACCATAGCAAAAAGTAAAAGATCCAACAGTGATATTCCAAAATTGGATTGTAACCATGTATACTTGAAATGCCAAGGGCGTGCCTAAAACAAAGAATACATCATAAGAAAAGTATGGAGAATAAAAATGAACAAGAACATTTTATGTGAAGAAACATAATTTTTGGTTTTTATCAAAAATATTTACCTTTCCAATATGTGCTTTAATTGTGGTGGCCTCCCGTTATATGACAAGAATGTTAAATGCAGTCACCAGTACAGTGGAGTGAATAGATTTCTACATCCTCTTTTTGCACCTCGGTTAGTTTAAGATATGTCCTGTTGCCATTATCTCAGCCCTGGCTTCAACATGTGAGACCCAATAGGTTCCTGCGTGGACAGGATGCTCTCATCCTGGTGGTCCACATGAATTCTGAGCGGGTAGCAGAGATCCTGGGCCATTTGCTGTCAGTGCCAACAAGTGGGAGGTGACTGTTACTTCTGACCCAATTGGGTGCCCTGGCCTTGTCGCAGGAAGCTAGTAGTGGAAAGAAGTGGTATAGTTCAATTTCATTCTATCAACTGTGTAATTCTGGGAGAGCCACTGCCCTCCCTTGTTGTCCCCTCCTTTATGGAATTCGGAGCAATGCTGACCCTATTCCCGCAGAAGGAGGCTGGGAGGCGGCATTAACAAATACACACAAACCTGCTTACCACATTCTAACCTCTTCTGCCAACATTGTAAGCTATACACTCAATAGAAAAGGAAACACTACCCATGTTGTTAATATATAAGAAATTATCAGTGACTACTTAGCAAATGACTTAGCCCCTGTAAGTAATTTAACATTATCTGCTACATCTCTCCAATAAGCCCAATTTGAAGGAAGGGGCAAGTCCCTATTAAAATGTAAGGTTTCTAACAGCAAAATATGTGTTCCAGACCATCCCACGGCGGGAAGTTTTGTGAGGGCTCCACTCGCACTCTGAAGCTTTGCAACAGTCAGAAATGTCCCCACGATAGTGTTGACTTCCGTGCCATGCAGTGTGCAGAATACAACAGCAAACGGTTTCGAGGGTGGCACTACAAGTGGAAGCCTTACACGCAAGTAGAAGGTAAATCCCAAACCCTACTCAGTAGTGATAGCCTCCTACTTTATTATCTTTCCTCCTGAAAGAACTACATGATAGATGGTGTGGTGTTCAGGTAGATCAGACACCCCTATATGAGATCAGTGTCACAGATCCCTTTCTGGGGTATTTTGACACATGGCCACAGGCATCTTAATCTAAACTTGACCAGCTATGTGGTCAGAAATTAACAAGCCAAACAGAGAACAAATTTATAATACCATTAAATTTAGAAGTGGTAAAAAATGAAAAGAAGATGTTTTATTGTCAATGAATCAATGCTTATTTTAATTACAAATCCTATAGTTGATAGTGATATTTCTATAAGCATGTTACCCAATGAACACATAATTGCCAAATAATGAAAGAACAACTTTAGTATCTTTTGGAAAATCAGATAATTTTAAAGTATACTCTATTCAGAAAGTCTTGATCTATAATACAACTTTAAACTGAATGTTTATTTGTGACATATCTAAGATTTTACTCTCTAGTTGGAGAAAAATATGCATTAGTCTTATGATTATTATAACTTGAGCTTGGTAGCTTAAGTGGTATAATTTAAAATTAAGTCCAAAGAACATCTAATCATCTTGTTTTTTGAAATTTGGAATATTGTCTAAGCAACACTCAAGAAATACATAACTTGGAACTTCTCATGTGACATTTACTTTCTTCATCATAATATATAATATTTTCATGCTGAGAGGTTTATGAAATTAGTAGATTATGGAAAGAAAATTGTCAGCAATTTCATACAAAGCATTCTTGGTGGTATTTTCACTCTTTAACTCAGAGAAAATTAAGCCAGTGAAAAAAGTAGAAAGAACTTTGAAATTGGGGTCAAAAAATGTGCATGTTATTCCTGACCTTGCTAGTCTTCAGTAAATAAATGTGTTAATAATGGAAGCACTAAATTTGATCTTAAAATTTTTTAGATGGGTCACTTATAAAATAAAGAAAATATTTGTAGATGAACCTTGAGCCTATGAAAACTCCTAAGGCAGACAAAAACATTCATCATAAACTGTTCCCTTTTTACCAAGGAGAAAACAAAGGGATATGGTTTTTACAAAAGTTTATATTTAATCATATAAATCATAAACCCTTGAAATGAGAGAGGAAGTGAACTTTACCAGTCTTAAGGATATGATGACATCCATGTTCTTTATGTATCAATATTTTTTATAATAAATTTTAGAAAACATAATTTTCTGGAGATTTCATCTAAAAGTGATTCCCTCTATCAATTTAAAAATATTATGTATTTTTTCAACTGTATTAGCAATTAAGAAATTCATACTTTTATTTCTTGTTACATTTTATTTGTGAGAATTTGACATATTGTTATAAAATTGTAGTGACTTTTTTGCATTTCTACAAGAGAGTAGTTAATTATACTAGTAGAATAGTTAATAGTAATGTTGTAGTTTAAATCAACAAATGTTTATTGAATGCCTACTATGTGCCAACCACTGTGTAAAAAACAAAGACTAGTAGAGAGTTGAGTAAAAACTAACAGTGAACATTTAGATAATAATAAATTAAAGGGGAAAAACAAGCCTAAAGAAACAACCATACAAAAATGTCTTTGCAATGTATTATTGTGTGGGAGTTTATTTTATGAGCAAAAAAGAAAAAAAAAGTCTATCTAAAATTTAGAGCAAAAATGATCAGAGCTTAAGTATCTTTCTTATTTGTGTTTGTGTGTGTATTTCTTTTTAAGATCAGGACTTATGCAAACTCTACTGTATCGCAGAAGGATTTGATTTCTTCTTTTCTTTGTCAAATAAAGTCAAAGATGGGACTCCATGCTCGGAGGATAGCCGTAATGTTTGTATAGATGGGATTTGTGAGGTAATAATGATCGTTCATTCATTCAACAAACATCTCCAGACCGTCTGCTTTGTGCCAGGCATCCTATAAGAAGCTAGAGAGAACAGACAAAAAATAAGCCCTTTCAAGTCAAAGCCCAGGGGGGGAGAAGCCAGATGTACACATGCTGAGACACAGTGGTTTGTGGCACTGAAGGCACAGAGCGCAGGGAGAAGGAAAGAGCTGATTCTCTCTTAGATGTGTATCTGGGAGATTTGCAGGGCTCCTTGGAGAAGAGAGCTTCCAAGCTAAATCTGAAAGGGTGAGTTGGAAGGGGAATGTTAGGGAGGCAGGCAGAGGAGCTTAGGTTGGTAAGACCCAACTCAGTCATCAGAGTATCCAGAAGGCAGGCAAGAGTTGGGGTATGGGGGAGGTAAGGAATGGGGAATGGGCTCTCATAAGAACAATCGCTGCCAGAATGAGGAGTCAGGTTTTGATCGTTGTGTCTGTGTAGATCAGGCACTGAGACTGGGAACTAGTGGAGTTGTGGGATCAGATGCAGTGGCTGAACGGTAGCGTGGAGAATAATGAAGGTGGGCGGGCAGCTCAGAGCCGAGAGCCACTCTGCAGCTATTCCAGGGGTCTCCAGAAGACCCAGTAGCCTCAACATCTATTAGAGAGGGACTTAGGTGACAGGCTGGGAAAGACTCAGTGACTAAGTGGACATCACCCTTGGAGCTTGTTACCATGTGCAGAAGTAAGTTATGGAAAGAATTTCATTATAAACAAAGTGATGCTGTGACCAGATCACACATAGAAGTTACTCAATATTCTTATTCACTGGAGTCCAACAACCTCAGTCCAAGTTCTAGTTTTCTCTAAATTATAGGACCATAGTAAAGTAGAACCACCCACTAAGACCTCGGTGTAATTCTTTTTAATGCATGAACATCAGGCTAGATGATTCTATTAAGATCTTTTTCAGCTTTGAAATGCTCAAATCTCTACCTGTTTTGTCTAATTAGTAGTAGATTTGTTAAATATTTATGTATTTTTAGGTATTCTTAATGATAATGTTGCAATCCCTTATTTGTAATTTTGAAATCTAAAAATCTATGAAATAGAAAGTTTGTTTGGATGGAAAATATAAGTTGACCTGAATTTGTTTGGTGGTAAAAACCTTCCCTGAACAGATGTAAGACTATTTGATAGTTTTCTTTTAACCGCATAGTATGAAGATGTCTGCATTGTGTTATAGAAATATCATTGCTATCCTAGGCCCATCTGGGACTTTCACATTATATACACAATATGTCAATTTCCATCCTAAAATCTCTGAAATGCATCCATCCCTATGGATTACAAGCAAGGGATTGTGGACTATAGTTATTTCATTTCTGAATAGATCTATAGACATTGTTAGGAAATATAAAACTAACAAGAATTGTACAAATAATCAGTTCATAAGATTGTAAGAGGGTGAACAAATATGCCCTTTATATTATTTACTGCTGGGAATTATTTCCACATGGCATGTGCTACTTCTCTGCCATTGAACAAGGAGATTCAAAAGCATCAGGGCACATTCCAGTGGACCCTTGTGAGAACACATTGCTTGTCGTTTGTAGTAAGTGCTTTATGTCAGTCTGCACTTGACCCATGTTTCCAACATAACAACTGGATAGATGCAATTCAGGGCTCAGGATACAATAGCTGTGAGCAATTCTGAAGAGTTCAGGTTATGTTTGACATTTAAAGTTTTCCAACTTTGGGCCTGAAGAGTAGATTTGCAGGATTTCTGTGCACATATTGGGTATCCAATAAATATTTGTTAATTTCCCTGTGTTGGTGGAATTTTCAACTATAGCGGGGAGGAGGTTTCCTGCTTTAGGTTTGTGATGTTGCTCCTGTTATCTTTTCTTTCATGAATGACATGTGACCTCACGAATATCCCAGAGAGTTGGATGTGACAACATCCTTGGATCCAGTGCTGTGGAAGACTCTTGCGGTGTATGCAAGGGGAATAACTCAGACTGCACGGTGCACAAGGGCCTCTATGCCAAGCACCACCGCACCAACCGTGAGTATGCCACAGCTGCCTGCGGAGGTTGAGAGACAAGATCGAAACGGGAACTTTTTGGTGGGAAGGATTTGAGGTGTAGTGAATGAAGCAGGTGTTGAGACTCTTGACAGGAGGTGGAGGTGAGCAATAGTGTCAACAATAAAAATTAACAGGTCCCACAACTGCCTCCTTTTCTGCCTACTCTCAATCCTTTGTTTTGATAGAAAGTGGTTGCTAGGTTATTTGAATTAGAATCATCCTTAGGAATAGTGAAAATTACAATAACTCTGCTTCAATTACAAATAAGTCACTTATAGGATTCTCACGTTGTAGTTATGGAGTACTGAAGGTGCTGAGAGATTTGGCCTTGGCATAAATGAATGAAATACCCTGTCCTCCCTGATCCTGTTTGCTTTAATCTAGAATATTATCAGATGGTTACCATTCCTTCTGGAGCCCGGAGTATTCACATCTATGAAATGAATGTATCTACCTCCTACATTGCTGTGCGCAATGCCCTCAAAACATACTACCTGAATGGACACTGGACCGTGGACTGGCCCGGACGCTACAAGTTTTCAGGCACTGCCTTCAACTACCGACGGTCCCACAGGGAGCCGGAGAGCTTGACTTCTGCGGGGCCAACCAACGAAACACTGATCGTGGAGGTAGACTCCACCCTCATGGTTTTGGGGCTTGGATTTTGGGGTCTTCTAGCATTTCTGTAAGTCCAAGGCTATTGGTGTCATTTTAAGTGCACAGAAGCATGCTTACAATTAGGTAATGCATCAGAAACAAGACTATTCAATGCATAGGCTGAATGGGTCAGTGGACTTTTTTAATCATCTTCATTTCTTGGTGCATGATTAAATGTGTATTTATGCACGTCCTGCAGTTCCCATGTTGGGGTCTTTACAAATGTCTGCTTCTCTTCTGTAAGCTCTATGGCTGGGAGAGGCTCTGTCTGTGCCTCCTGACCCTGAACTGCTTCCTTCACCCTGTGGTAAACTATTCACCCTCCATTCTTGCCTTGATTATTTCTCTCTCACCATCTCAGGCTGTTAGCTATAATAATCATAGAGAAAGAGAAATGGGTCAGGGTTGAAAATGAGTTCAGCTTATTGGGAACTGTTTTTGTGGAAGAAGAGTCAGAGCCTCAGGGTGTCAGAAGGGGAGCATCTCAATGGCCTTGCAGTGCAGCCCACTCTCCAGGGTGCCAACCTGCCCTACACCAATGGAGACTTGAGCTGAGTTGTCAGGGAGGGACTGTGCTGCCAGGGTATCAGGGAAGGGCCAGTGTCATTATCCACTGGAACATCACATCAAGGATGCATAATGGCTCAGAAATGAAGATGTCTATCAAAAGGATAATGGCGATGCTGCTTTAAAAAAAAAATAGATAACCTACTTACTGAGATCAGTGGATCTGGTACACTTATGAGAGAAAAGGTGATTACTGATCCATGTGTTCAGGTTTTACACTGGAAGGTGAAGAGTCCAAATGCAATGTTATACCCTAAACCAGTGGTCGGCAAACTGCGGCTCGCGAGCCACATGTGGCTCACGATCCGCAGTTTGCCGACCACTGCCCTAAACCATGGCTCACAGTTATGCTGAGCCTGAGAGATCATCTTGACTAGTAAGATATGTTTCTCCTGGAACTCCTGGGTACACGCCAACAGGCACCCAGCCATGCGGGAAGTCCTGTGACTTAGCTTTGACAGTGGCATGGATGACATCACTTCAGTGTCCTGGGTTATTACTAGGACGTGTGATGGTGCTTTTTAAGTATCACTTTCTGATTCGCTCTCCTGGGGAGGATTTGCAGGGAAGCCAGAAGGAACATGGAGAGAAAGCAAGAGATAACCAAATATGTTTATTGGGTGGCAAAGACATCTGAAGTCTTGTGTGGAGGAAACACTGAGTATATGGCAAGTCAGATGTCTATATAGTTACTAGATATACTTGAGTCCAGTTGGGAGTTTATTCCTGTTCAGAAAGTTAATGCAAATTTTGGAGACTGAACACTGTTTATTTTATCACTTTAAACAACATTTTGTTGACATTGCTGTTGTTTTTAAAACAAATCGTGTAGTTATTGGTTCCATTTTAACTAGTTATATTTCCCCCATCTTATGTTGTAGCTCCTGCTTCAGGGAAGGAACCCGGGCATTGCCTGGGAATACTCGGTGCCTCGGCGGGCCGGTGAGCAGAAGCCCAGTGCCCAGCCCAGCTACACGTGGGTCATCATCCGCTCCGAGTGCTCTGTTTCCTGTGGTGGGGGTAGGTCACTTCTCTGTCTCCTGCTGGTGGGCACAGAAGTGCCTGGAGCACGGTCAAGCTGTGACATGTTCTACACTGGTCCTCTTCAGGCCCTAATGAGTCACCCAAGGAGTCTGCCTGCCTGAGAGTAGCAGTAATATTGCCAGAAGCAGAGGAGAGAATACTGGTCCCGAGTATCACTTGAAAGCCTCAACTACTTTCTCAGGTTCATATGCATTAGCATCTAGCTTTGAGGAAATTCTTTAGTGAATTGGTTTCTGCTTTTCATCTAATTTAAGGGTGTGTTTTTTGGTATAATTTTGTTATGAAAGTCACTCAATATATAGATATATAGATATACATATATATGTATATATACACACACACACACACATATATATATATATATCATGTTCGTGATGAGAAATAGAAGTTTACATGAAAAGTATAGTAATATAGAATGAGTTTTTTATCAGATGGTCTTGTTCAAAACATTCAGTGGAAAGAAAATGGCTATAAAGTTGTACACTGAAACTCATAGAGAAATTATAATCTTATTAAAATTGCAGTGTAAGTGACAAGAAACAACATTTCAAAAGACTCTTACAAGACAATGGATGGCTTTTTTATGTTAATACTATAAGAATTTTAAGTACATGTTTAGATTTTTGAAGTTGATTCACTAGGAGACATTTTTAGCTAGAGCCAGTATGGACTATCTGACAAAGAATGGCAAGTACATATTTGCAAATTTATAAACAAAATAGTAAAAACTGTCTGATATTTTAGAAACAAATTTCCACTCGAGCCAATGTATTTCAGCTTTGTGCGTTCTCAGTTTTCATAATTAAGAAAATAATTCAGACAGTACTATATTTAAATATAAAAATGGTACACAAATAAGAACTTGCATAAAATAAGAATCTAATGAATGGATGAAGAAAAATAATAATGAACTCATATTCTTAATAAAGAAATTAAGAAAAACTGAAAGTTTCACAAAAATATCATGGTCTAAAAAGTTAGTACTATGTACTTGACATATGTTAATTCTTCCCATTTTGAGCTAAGAATAAAATATTAAAATTATATTTAAATTCTGACATTAAAACATCCTAAGAAAAAAATGTGATTCCCTCTGTACAGTTGGATAGCAAGCTAGTGGCTCTAATGGCAACTGAAAAGCTCCCCACCTCTTCTGTCATTCAAGAACCATTACCAGGGCCCTAGCTGGTAGCTCAACTCATTAGAGCATCGTGCTGAAACACCAAGTTTGCAGGTTTGATACCCTGTCAGAGCACATACAAGAATTAATCAATGAATGGACAAATAAGTGGAACAACAAATCAGGAATTCCCATGTCCTGGAGTATCTTCCCTCTTCTGATTTTAGGGTCTTCATGCTTGTGAAGGCCCTCAGTATATCCAGCACTCCCTGAAGTAATGACTCATGTTTCTCATGGGACAATGTGCATTCATTTGTGTAATATTTTCTAGTTTTCTGTGTAATTTTGCTTAACTGGTTGTTTCTAAGGCTTTTGGCAACAGCTGGAATTAATTCTATAGTTAGAAGTATTGAAAACTTGGAGATTTTGATAAAAATTAGAGTCTTTAAGACTGGATACTCCTCTTCCAGATACTTTGGCAAAATGTGGAAATTTCAAAATGCTTTCCAAAGAACTGACCAGGGCTGGTTTCTGAAAAGATAAAGGCAGAGCCTGGCCACATTGATCATGACACTCACCACCTCCCAGGGCCAGGGTTCAGCTCTGGGCTTTCCAGTTAAAGGGTGTTTTCTCTGACTTTCTTACTTTCACCTTTGAATTGCATACTCTTCTCTCTTATCTATTAATATGGATCACTTTAGAAAATTGGCTTGATTCTGGCATTTCCACAGACCAGGTGATATTTCTTTTTGATAAACAGTTGAGTGATTGTGCGTGCTGTTGAGAAATTCCTTCACAGATATGCCCTTAGTCAGAGAAATAATACCTGAGTCTTTGTAAAAGTTCAGCTATATGGCTGAGCAGACCCCATTCCATCAAAGGAAACTCATCTGAAAACATAGTTATCTACCACCTCCTGTAAAAATAGAACTTGGAAATCCTATGTTCTACTGGACATGTGAATGTCTATGTGTATTTTTATTTTCTCGGAATATTTAGATATTTGAAAAATGTCAAAGGACGGAACATTTAATTTCATTTTTACATCCATTATTGTTTATATGGGCTGAGGAAATAAAATTTAAAATAAAATCTCAAGTATCCTTATCACCTATAAACCGATTTGACCTCAAAAATTAACTCACCAGATGTCAAGTATATACTTGTTGAATAAATGAACACAAGATCTTAACCACTTACTGATTTATCAATATGCAAGACCCATGTTGATTTTAGAGATGTTAAAATGTAGTGGGAAAATGAATGTATCTTAGAACTGATGAAATTCACTAATAAGTCATGAGGAATGGTCAGAAAAGTAGAATATCAACAGCTGGCCAATTGGTCAGTAACACAAAGACATTCAAATACAGTAAAGTGTGTGTTTTTTTCTGATGAACTTCATTAGCTCTTCACCTGCCTTTTACAATGGGGCATGTCCCTGAGTCTTTATCATGCATCTCACCCTTTCATACAGGGCAGATGACCACCCAAGAAGGCTGCTACAGAGACCTGAGGTTTCAAGTAAATACGTCATTCTGCAATCCCAACACCCGGCCTGCCACAGGGGTGGTGCCTTGCAAAGTATCTGCCTGTCCTCCCAGGTAAGAACCGCCAGGCCATCGGAACTAGTTTCATAGTTTGCAAATATACTTGGGGAGTCCTAGGAGCTTCTGTGTCTAAAGGTAGAAGCACTGTTACCATCACAATCCCGACTAGCAAAGAGGCCGAAGTCACCAGGACTGCTCGAATAAGCGAGCTTTAAAATGTGTCTGGAAAACCTTGTGAATGTCAGTGGAAGTTCTTAGAGTAGCACCCTTTTCGATTTTTACTTTAAGCTGCATGCTGCCAGGGATGATAGTGCACTGTGGTGATAGTAAAGTTTTAGCTCCCAGCTTTCTGTCTCCTTCCTACTATTTCTTTTTCTTTTTTAAAAAACGTTATTAGATGTATTGGGCTGACATTGGTTAATAAAATTATATAGGTTTCAGGTGTAAAATTCTATATTACATCATCTGTATATTGTATTATGTATTCATCCCCCAAAGTCAAGTTTCCTTTTCTCACCATATGGTTGACCCCATTTATCTTTTTCTCCCCTCCAGCCCTCTTCCCCTCTGATAATCACCACACTGTTGTCTGTGTCTATGAGTTGTGTTTGTTTGTTGCTTTCAGTTTTATACCCCACATGTTAGTGAAATCATATGGTTCTTGACTTTTTCCATCTGACTTATTTCATTTAGCATGATATTCTCAAGATTCATCCATGTCGTCACAAATGGAAGTATTTCATCTTTTCTGTGCCTTACTGAACGAAGGCTTCCTGGGTTGTCAAGGGTGTGTGGGTGACTGCTGTGCACTGTGCATGCTCACGTGTGAGATGGAGGTGCAGAACACCTGGGCTCTGTCCTTCCATCATGCTGTCCTCAATACTGCTGCCCTTGGATATTTCTTTATTTTTTTAAATATATTTTTATTGATTTCAGAGAGGAAGGGAGAGGGAGAGAGAGCTAGAAACATCCTTGATGAGAGAGAACCATTGATTGGTTGCCTCCTGCATGCCCTCTACCAGGGATCAAGTCCACAACCCAGGCATGTGCCCTTGACCGGAATCGAACCCAGGACCCTTCAGTCCACAGGCCGACACACTATCCACTGAGCCAAACCAGCTAGGGCTAAATATTTCTAAATAAAGCTCAGGTTTACTGAGATGGTGGCCTGGGAAGGACCCAGGAGGCAGCTGTGGTCCTGCCCTGCTCTCATCAGCCACCATCCCTGAGCACATCCTTAGACTCTCTGCTCCTCACTTTCTTTATCTTTTCGGGGCTATGTCACATGTAAAAATCATCTGAGTAACAAATTTAAGAAATTAAATTCTAACTCCAACTAGAGCTTCAGACAGCCAAGGCACTATGTATAAAATAGTCTTATACATCTTGTTGTAAAGACCCATAAGCTGGGATATGGATCCCAGGTTTGCTGAACTGAGCCTCCCAGTATAAAATTGATGCTTTTCCTGAAGATGGTAAAATAGAGGAGGGCGAGAGGCACTGTCTGCTTTCGTCTCTGGCCTGTGTGGGCCCTGGTCACTTGCCCAGGATAGTGATGAGGCCACTTATCAACATTTAGGGGTCAGAGACCTTTCTTCCTACTAGGATGCCTGAATGGGCATCCCTGGAAAGATTCTGTATTCCCAGCCCCCCTGCATCCTCAGGGCCTGGGGACCCACAACTTCCGATTCACTGACCTTGCCTCAACCAGGATCCCGTGTCCTCCCTCCCAGCAGGATGCCAACAGAAGTGAAGCAGGTCCTTCCATGTGTGTCCTGCAAAGACTCTGCCTCCTCCTCCTCCCCCTCTCACCCCTCCATGGGCTGCAACAGGCTTGGCTGTAGTGAGCCAGCTCTAGTCACATGGGCAAGGGCAACCTGCAAGGTGGGTAGAGTCCCAGGATGGAGGGTGTTGGTATGAGCAGAGCTACCACACCTTCCTACCAACTCAGGCTTCCTCTTGAAAGGGACATGCCACCTCCCGGGGATGAGCTCTGGTTACATGGTCTCTGTTGGTGCAGTTAAGCCACTCTCCTAACTTCTATGAACCTCACCTATGAAACCTGGGTCCCAGCACTCCATTCTGGTCACCACCTCTGGTCATGGCAGCTCATGTGCTCTCGCATCCAATTGTCCTTATGTCTTCCTGGGGCGCCAGCATTTCCACCCTCCCTGTCCAGGATGTCATGTGCTCTCCCCAGTCCAGAGTCCATGAGTAGTGCTGTCATCCTTCTCTGGAGAGCTGGCTTAACACTTTCTCCCAATTCTTCCCCCTTATCCTTCCCCAGAGACCCCACTTGGCTACATCCATCTTATCACCCATTCCATACTTGGAGCTCAGTTGTTAAATACTGCCAGAAAATGTACAAGCCCCTGTTCTCACTCAGAAAGGTCACCATCTCACATAGCCACCCCAGAATGGCAGCCAATCCTAACACCCTTGACCAGTCATTTCCTCCCTCCCAGGACAGTGATTTGATATTCCCGCCAGCCTCCTCCAGCATTCCTACTTCTCCCATTCCGCACTCTCGGCCACAGCCAGGAAACGACCACCCTCCCTGCCATGAAAAGCCCACCTGGGAGTCCAGCCCTCACACTGCCTTTCCCAGTGGGCTAATGTCCCGCCTCTTCTGAAATCTCTCCTAGAGCATTTCTCTGCTTCCCCTTTGGTTTCACACTTCTGGATTTCTTTGAAGAAAGATTTTTAAATGGATGTCGGATTTCCCTTATGCTCTGTTGTAAATATGTATATATGTGGAGGTACTAATTTTTCCTCACAGTCACCTGTTCTGCCCATTGCTCTTCTCGCTGGGCCGTCCCTGCAGTTTATCTTTCTGGTTTTGAGGGATCTAGAGCCAAAGACATTTCTGTGTTCTTCCATGTCCTATATTCTATACTTATCTCATTCAGGTCCAATGTTATAGGTAAATTCTGGTAAGAGCTCTGTGTGCTGAAAGGAAAGGCATTATTCCGGGAGGAAGGGTCTGTCTGGGGAAGCTGAACCTGCTGTATGGGAGCAGCCGATAGAAAACACACTGAGAGCTCACCAGAGTCACCCAAGAAAAACCCAGAGGCCACTTCTTAACTCTTTGATTTATATGTCTCACATTTTTGAATATATGCATATTCTCCTAAAAGAAAGTTTTGGGAGATGATATAAATCCCAGCTGGAAGCCTACTGCTATGCTTTCCTGCTGGGAGAGAATTCAGGGGACACCCCAGATAGTAGCAGGGGCTGGAGGACTAGTAGCCCCAGAGGTTCCTATGGTTCAGATGGGACAAATATCCTGGCTCCCATCCCACACCGCTGCTTGGAGTGGACTTAGTGGGCCTGGGTGATGCCGAACAGAATATGGTATGTGCTAGGCAGAAAGTGTGGGGTTAAAGGTGTGGGCTGTGTTGTCACCAACCTGGGTGCAAACCTCCTTTGTCTGCCCGGCTTCTACATTATCCAGTGAATACAGGGAATGATATGCTGAGGAAATCCACATAAATGCTCTTAGCACAGCATATGTGCTAAATACACAATAAATCTTGGCTGTTTTAATTTTGCTGTAAAAGGAGAAACAAATTCACATCAGTTACTTATTTAGTCTGTGAAGCAAAACTATCAATGACGAAGCACAGAAGAATGAACCTATATTATATATATTAATCCTCGTGGAGTTTTGTTTTAACAATTGAATTGGGAAAATAGATCTTAATTTAAAAAGTTGCTTTGTTTCCCTCTGAGATGTGAGATACATTTCTCTCTTGCCCAGAATACCGACAATATTTTGTTCCTGATTAAGTGGGCAGAAAGCCCCAGTTTTATATTTCGGAACATGAGAGCGTGTTTTTCTTATTAGAGCCTGTCTCTGCTGAGGTGTGGGGCCCTCTCCAAGCCCTGGTGTCCTGCGGTGTCCCTCTAGTGGCCTCCCAAAGCCAGAGTGACTGCAATAGCTCATTCTCTTACATCTCGCTCAGTGGACAGGATGCCCGGATACAGCGGAGTGCAATCTGGTGTTCCATGTCCCATGTGTAGGAGGGTCCCGAAAGGATTGGGGAGCGGAATCTTTAAAACATCTTAATCCGCAGCCTTCTCATTTGTACTTTAAATAAAAAAGAAAAGCTGCTCTTTTGGTTCGAACCTCTGACCTGCATCAGCGTCCAAATGGCATGCCTGGGCAGTGTCTAAGGCTCACACAACTGGAGCGCTGGCAAGCTCCTGGGTCATTAGCAGGATGGGGGTCCCAGGACATGAATCTCTGCAGGGGGCAGAGTACTAGGAATCCAGGGGTCTCCTTGCTGGAGGAAGATGATCTTAAAAAGTCTGGTTGGCTCCAGCCCACAGGAGCAGCATGGCTAAATGACAGGGCTTAGGCAATTCCCAGCTGCTCCTCTGGAAGGCAGCTGAGTAGACACATAACCTCAGGTCTCTCCTCCTCACACCAGGCAAGGCTGGCTGGGCAGTGACCTCGGAACAGACTAGCAGTGCACAGCAACCACCCTCCCTCCACCCATAGCTCAGCTGCCTCCATCTTCATTTTAGCATGAATCAGGCATTTTTATCTCTTGCTTTTGAAACACGAACTATAAATCACACAGATATTTATTTCCTTTCTCTTTCTCAGTTTATCTAAGTGGAGTGGCTCCTCGTGTCATTTATCTTCACTAGCTCGTTTTCAAAGCATAAACCCATAGGATGTGTGCTTTCCTGGACAGTGGATTGAAGATTCAAGAGGAAATGCTTTCCAGATGCTAAAAGGATACTCTTCCCCTCCCTGCAGTATTCTTCTAGGAATGCAGAGGAAGAATTTAGATGAAAAATATTGCGATCAAATGCCTTGTTTTCTCTTCATAGGAATCCATACAAAAGTACCCTCTCTCTGTGCTCCTCTGCACATGATCTTTGGATGGTCATATTACCGTTGCCTATCCTGTGGTCCCTCCTTACAAACCCGTTAGCAGAATGGTTTCATTCTGTGGACTGGAACCTATCAGCAATGTTTCACTCGAGGCCAGTTTTTGGTTTTCATGTTGTATTTTTAAGAGAAAGGAAACATGTGGGTCAGG